ATTGCAACCTCCGCCTCCCGGGTTCAAGCAATTCTCCTGCCTCTCTGCCTGTGGAGTACTGGGATTACAGGCACATGCCACATGCCCGGTTATCTTTGTATTTTCAGTAGAGACGGGGTTTCACCATATTGGTCAGGCTGGACTCGAACTCCTGACGTCAGGTGATCCACCTGCCTCGGCCTCCTAAAGTGCTGGAATTACAAGCATGAGCCACCGCGCCCAACCCCATCACTTTTAATTAAATGATGTTGTATAAGCTTTTACATCAGGTTTTATCTTGGGGGAACACAGGTTAGCAGAACCACTAAAGTTTCTAAAAGCAAGTGGTAGGGTGAACTCAGTCTAAGATGCGAGAGCCACTTTGGAGGGCTGGAGAGTCAGCTTCTCTGGTCCCAGTGAAGTGTAGGGGAAAGGAAGATAGGTCGGTAAAATAAGTGGTCACACGCATGTATATGTTGGTTTCCCACTGTTGTCTTAAATCACAGAGAGTTACTGCATAGAATAAGAAAATAAATCTGAAAGTGGAGGAAATATTACCCTGCAATCCCCACTTATATGTTTGGCAGGGGTTATTAGGCAGGACAGTTTCATAAAGCATCACAGAAGGTTGAGCCAGAAGTGAGTGATGAAGAAGTATTCGGGTTAAATGGAAGAGCCTGGGGCAGCTCTCCTGGCTCCTGGCTGTCTGCCTATTTTCTGGAAGGGATTCAGATGATTCCACATGCCTCTAGGTGTGGTAGATGCAAATGTCAGAAAAGTAGGGCTAGTGTTTTCATAGGAAAACATCATGGTGCAAGAGAACTTCGTACAAGAGGGCTTTGGGGTCATCCAACCAAGTCAGAGATTCATTGCACCAGCAAGGAGAAAGATAGGAGGGATGAAACACCAAAGGGCAGAAACTGTATTTATATATATATAGAGAGAGAGAGAGCTCATCATTGTATTTACAATATAGACCTCAGTGTGAGGCACACTGCAGGTCATGAGTAAATAATAATAACAATTCCATAGGCTGACTTTCAAGAGTTCAATCCAAAGCAGATGAAAGTCTAGAGTTGTTTTTGTTTTGTTTTGTTTTGTTTTGAGACGGAGTCTCTCTCTGTCGCCCAGGCTGCAGTGCAGCGGTAAGATCTCGGCTCACTGCAAGTTCCGCCTCCCGGGTTCATGCCATTCTCCTGCCTCAGCCTCCCTAGTAGCTGGGACTACAGGCGCCCGCCACCATGCCCGGCTGATTTTTTGTATTTTTAGTAGGGACGGGGTTTTACCGTGTTAGCCAGGATGGTCTTGATCTCCTGACCTCGTGATCCACCCACCTTGGCCTCCCAAAGTGCTGGGATTACAGGCCTGAGCCACCGCGCCTGGCCAAAAGTTTAGAGTTTTTATAACCTAGTATTTCCTTGGATATGTAGCCAAGAGAAATGATTATATATGTCTCCTGAAAGCTGCATATAATACCATTCGTGGAATAATTATTTGTTATAGCCAAAATTGTAGACAATTCACATCCATCAGGAATGTGGTGAATAAATTATGAAATATTTGTGCAATGTAATGCTATAAAACAAATAAAAATAATAAATTATGCTACACACAGCAACCTGGGTGAATCTCACAAAGACAATAATGAGTGAAAGTAGGCAGATAGAAAAGAATGTACACTCTCTATGTATATGTCCCATTTATATAAGGTCCAGGAAAATACAATGCTAATATGCGCTACTAGAAGTTAGGGTAATAGGTATCTTGTGGGAAGAGGGAAGGTGCGGTAATTGGAAGAGAGAATGACGGTAGCTCCTGGAAAGCCAGAATGTTTTATTTCTCCTCCCAGAAAGTGGTTACATAATGTGTTTACTTCATGATCTTTCACTGAATTTAACTTACGATTTATGCATTTCTCTGTGTGTCTTTAATTTGAAAAGTTTTTTAAAAAATTCTTCGGCCAGGTGCGGTGGCTCACACCTGTAATCCCAGCACTTTGGAAGGCTGAGGTGGGCGGATCACAAGGTCAGGAGTTCAAGACCAGCCTGGCCAACATGGTGCAACACTATTTCTACTAAAGGTACAAAATATTAGCTGGGCATGGTGGCGCACCCCTGTAATCCCAACTACTTGGGAGGCTGAGGCAGGAGAATCGCTTGAACCTGGGAGGCGGAAGTTGCAGTGAGCCGAGATGGTGCCATTGCACTCCAGCCTGGGTGATAGTGGGAGACTCCGTCTCAAAAAAAAATAATTATTCCCTCCATTTATTCTTTATACTTACCAACCACCAAATTATGCTCATTTTACCTTCTCATCTCCCAGTGAAATCACCCCCACTTTATTCTCATGTGTACTCCGTTCAGCCTCTGCCAGCATTTCTTACTTCAACTGATACGATAGCCTTTATATTACAGTATGGTATCAGTTTGGTCAATTCAAATACTCAGTTCTCATAGCTCCAGAAGATCTTTCTAAATTCAGGTCTGATTACTTAGCACTTTCAAACTTATAATCTGGCTTCGCATTTCATATAGGTTGTACTTGAGGGTCATTAGCCTGGAATATGTGTTCCTCCGTGCTCGTTCTCTCCAGGCTCACTTCTCATCAGCCCCTGCCTTGTATTTTATACCTGGAAAACCCTGAGCTATGTTTGTTTCCCCCGCAGCTTACAAGCTGCTTACTCCCTTTGGGTCTTTGCTTCTTTCACTCGTTGGATGGAACACCCCTTCCTGCCACACCGCAACTTTCTCCCAGCCCCTGATGGCTAACTCTTACTTGTGCTTTCAGATGGCCTTCCGCTCCAGGAAGTCTTACTGAACCACTCCCATTCTGAGGGAGTTATCTTTCTTCTGGGCTACAATAGCATCCTGTGCAGAGCTCAGTTATTAACTTATTATATAAGTTGTTAATTTCCACCATGTATCCGTTTAATTCTTCCACTACACGTGAACAAAGTAATAGGAAATGTGCCCTATTCGTCCTTTTGTTTCCAGGACCTAGCACTGATGTGTGTGTGTAATATATACACACATATATGAATTTTAGCAATTCTGAATTGTATTTATCCATGTATTTAAAAATAGTCATTACTTTTTTAGAGAACTGAGATCGCAAAGGAAAAGCTCTGTGAATCATTTACTTCATAAATTCTTTAACATCATGGTGTTTTGTATCAGATAAAAAGCTAAATTTTGCAATATTCCTGCTTCTTTCTGGTAAAGTGGGAAATCTGACATTTAGTTATTGCATTTATAAGTTGTTGTTCGAGTTCTTTAAGGACATAATAAGTATATGTAGTGGATAACATTAATGAATACTGCTTACTGTGTTATTATGAGTTATAGATCTTGCTAAACATTTTCATGTATTTCCTCTAATCTTCCCAACAAATCTGTTAGCTTGGCATTACTGACCTCATTGTATACATAATACCTTCTGAAGAATTTAAGTAAATTACAAGTTTCCACATCTAGCAACTGGCAGAAATTTGTAAAATCCCAGGTCTAGCTAAACACAAAGTACATGTGTTTTTACCCCCCCTTTTTTTGGTTATGAGATCATGTCTGCAATAACAGATGTCCTAACAAAAGGGATGCTTTGTGAGAGAAAAATCCATGTATTTTCCTCATCAACATATTTTTTTCACAGAAAACATCTTTTTAACAAAGTTGAATATTTCCCTTTTACACAGCTTGCATATTTAGGCTTAATTAAGTTATACTTAATTTGAGAGAAGAGCTGAGAAACAGAAGTATCTTTATACATCCTTTCCTAATACTTCTTCACTATTATTTTGTCACTTTATAACTAAGTGGAAGAGTTTCATGTTTGAGTAAAAAGTTTATTAATATTACTTCAAATATCTTAATTTAAAATTAAATTATTCCTGATAATTTCCAGCTCTAGTGATATTGGTCAATTAGTCACAACACTTACAGTCTGTTCTTACTTTTCAGGATTATCTCCTCTGAGTTTTAATCATTTTCAATAGGAGACAACTGACCAAACCCATGAGAGAAAACATATAGTTCTTTCATGAGCTCTATTATTCCCACTGTGCTCTCTTCCACTCAGTTCTACATCCCATGGCTTTCCCCTGCACTCCACAAGCAGAGAAAAAGGAATAGAGAAGGCTCCAATATGTCTGTATATTTACTAGTATGACGTCTGCCCAGGTTTTCTTCTTAGTTGCATTACAGTTATATTCTCTATTCTCTTTCCTGTGAAGACATGGCTCATGCTCTTTCTAATCTACGTGGATTATATGTTAGAAAATGTCACCACTAGAAAAATATGTGCAAATATTTTCTATGTAGATCTATTTTTTAAACACAGCACTTTTTTTTTTTTTTTTTTTTTTTGAGATGGAGGAGATGGAGGAGATGGAGTCTCGCTCTGTCACCCAGGTTGGAGTGCAGTTGTGCGATCTCGGCTCACTGCAACCTCCACTCTGGGTTCAAGCAATTATCCTGACTCAGCCTCCCGAGTAGCTGGGATTACAGGTCTGCTCCACCATGCCTGGCTAATTTTTGTATTTTTAGTAGAGACAGGGTTTCAACATGTTGGCCAGGATGGTCTCAATCTCCTGACCTCGTGATCTGCTTGCCTTTGCCTCCCAAAGTGCTGGGATTACAGGCAAGAGACACCACGCCAGGCCTCAATATGGCACTTTCTAAATTAAAAATAATTAAATAATGACTTTGTTATCAGTCTCTCTTAACGCCTATATCTTTATTCTACAAAAATTGGCCTTTGAGTCCTATTTACATAACAAAAAGATGCACATTTATTTCCAACTTTCAGAACATTTCACATAATTATATTAAAAGTATGTACACTATACAGCTAGTGTAAATATATTTTTTTAATTGTGCAGCTCCGACCTTCAATGCTAGAGAGAAGAAAGCAGAATGGGCTTTCTCCGGAGGTACTCATAGAAACATTTCAAGAAGATGGAAAGGGTTCCTTAGAGTGTGATTATGTATCCTGAGTAGCTCTGGGTTCAGGTGTAATCTCAAAGCCCTTTAGTAAACCCAGCTATTTTATTATTCTTTCAGGCTTTCATGAAGTTCTCTCCTTTACAAGCATCCTCTTTAGAACACCTTGGACTTCTTTGTTCCTAAGACTATAAATTAGGGGATTGAGCATGGGATTGAAGAGGCTGTGAAACAGCAGGAGATATTTGTTCTGCTCCTTGGGGCTCTCATATTGGGGCTCAACATACATGATGATGGCTGTGCCATAAAACAGTCCAACCACACAGAGGTGGGAGGAGCAGATGGAGAAGGCTTTCTGGCGCCCCTCCCCTGACTGGATCTTTAGAATGGCACACAGAATATGAACATAAGATATTACAATAGAAAAGAAAGGTCCCACCAGCACAGACAGTGCCCCTGCCAAAACGATTGCCTCATTAATGTGGGTATCCACACAGGCAAGTTTGAGAACAGCCGTAATTTCACAGAAAAAGTGGTTAACTTTCTGGGGTCCACAGAAGGACAGTGGTAGCAGTAACATTAGATGGACAAGGGCCAGTAAGACTCCTAAAGTCCAGGAAGTCAATGCCAGAGTGATGCAGACTTTCCAGGTCATGATGGTAGAATATCGAAGAGGGTGGCAGATGGCCACATACCGATCATAGGACATCAGCACCAGCAGGAGACATTCGGTATGTGCAAAACTCAAAAACAGAAACATCTGGGTCATGCAGCCAGCAAAGGAGATGGGCTTGGCTGGATGCAGGAGGTTCACCAGCATCTGGGGCACTGTGTTGCAGGCATAGGCGATGTCGACGACCGCCAGGTGTGAGAGGAAGAAATACATGGGAGTGTGGAGTCTGGAGTCCAGTGAGATGAGCCCCAGGATGGTCCCGTTCCCCAGCAGGGTGAAGATGTAGAACAGGGAGAAGAGCCCAAAGAGGAGCATCTGAATCCTTGGACCAACAGGAAATCCCAGTAAAAGGAACTCTGGGATGGAAGTCTGATTTCCTCCCATTTCCCTGTAGAAAAAACAAGGACCTCACCAAGTCTGAATGTCTGAGGCAAATGTTTAAGCATGCTGCAACTGTACGTATTATTGTTTGAGTGTTTCCTAAGAAAACACCTCCAATGATATTTTGATCTTAGTCACTTACTAAGAGAAAATTATGCATTACAAAGGAAACACAAGGAAATTTTTTCACCTGTGATAAATTCAATGTCAGTATGATGTTATAGTATTCATTACATCTTATTTTCAAATATACTTTCATCACAGTTCAAAATACGTTAATACTTAAATTGCCCTCATAGCATGGACTCTTTCCTCAGTGTGTAATGATTACACCAGATGCTTGCCCTCTGTATTCCTTCATTGCAGGGTACTTATATCCATGCATGTGGAAGTGTGCTAGTGTCTATGTCTATATATAAGGATTGAAAGAGGGATGACAAACATGTCAATGATCCTGCTATCAGGTCTTCTCACCAATTTGTGCCTTTTTTCTATGAATTATTTGTTAAACTTGTGATTTTTACTGATCGCATAATCTTGAATGAAGTTGAAAGAATGGCAGTTTTCCCCAACTTGGCTGGATTTAAACAGAGATCTTTGTGTTTTGACTTTTGTACCCTTAGAGGGTCTACTCTATGTTGTCTTACAATCAGAATGTAGTTACCTGTCACCCTTCTTAGACTATACCCTTCTACTATAAATGTGTATTTATATTATTTATTTGTATATATTTTTTTCTATTTTTTGCAAATTTGTTTTTAACAATTTTTAATAGATACATAATAGATGTACATAGTTTTAGGGTACATGTGATAATTTAATATACTCATTTAATTTATAGAGATCAAATCAGTGTACTTGGGCTATCTGTCACCTTAAATATTTGTCTTTTCCTTATGTTAGAAACATTCAAATTATTCTCTTCTAGCTATTTTCAACTATACAATAGATTACTGTAAACTATAGTCACTCTTGTAATCTATTGAACACTAGGTCTTATTTCTTCTATGAAACCATATGTTTGTACCCATTAATCAACTTCTCTTTATGTTTCCCTTTTGCTACCCCTCCTGGCATCTGGTAACCGCCAATCTACTCTCTGTCTTCATGAGATGCACATTTTTAGCTCCCACATATAAGTGAAAACATACAATATTTGTCGTTCTGTGCTTAGCTTATTTTATTTAATATAATGACCTCTAGTTCCATCCATGTTGCTGCAAATGGCAGGATTTTATTCTTTTACATGACTGAATAATATACCATTTTGTGTGTGTGTGTGTGTGTGTGTGTATATGTGTGTGTATATATATATATTTTTTCTTTATTCATTCATTGATGAGCACTTAGGTTTATTCCATATTTTAGTTACTGTGAATAGTGCTGCAATAAACATGGCTGTGAAGATATCTTTTTGATATTTTCACTTCCTTTCTTTTGGATATATACCTAGTAGTGAAATTGTTACATATGATTTATTTATTTACATTTGGAAATTTCCAAAACTCTGCTATATTCCTACAATAATAAATGTCTACCCAGTACATACACATGACTATATATATATATATAAAAAATTGAATCCTCACTCTGCGTAATGCACTTGTTTTCTATTTTATTCTAGTCTAATCTAAATGCTGGCTGAATTATTTCATGATGGGTCAAAAAAACACTGATCTCTATCCAAAACTAGAGCTAAAACTCTAGCCATATACTTATATTCATAGAATGTTTAACATATTTTATAGCTTCTTAACCATCATATAAAAATAAATAACTACTTATTATTATGGTGACTCTGTAGTTTTTTTTGTGGCCTATCAAATATTTTAAAATTCTTCCAAAGCAAAGAGGGTATACTGAGGTTTGAATCATTGTAACTTCTAAATTGTTGCTTGGTTTTTTTTTCGCCTGACTCTACAGCCTTCTTTAGTCCATAATCCATCTGAATTTCACTAAAATAAAAACCTAAGAAAAATTCATAATTGAGTTGCTATCAATGAACTCCCCATTCTAGTTTTCTGATAATATTTAAAAGATTTCATCAGCAAAAGTAAATAAGTTTTTGTCTTGCTTTGAAGAAAGAATCATAATTCAAAATAGAAATTATTGGAAGGTGATATTATCTTAGTCAAGAAATAATTTGATAATTATTGAAATTGCCTTCTTGAAAATTAGTAATTTTATTAGGAATGAAGTTGATTTCAGTGAGTGTTTTAATTCATAGATTAATTAACCATCTATTCAAGATGGGATTCCTTTGTCATGTGAGAAGTTGAACTAGAAGAAAGCCAACATCCCTTCCAACAATAGGATTCAGTGGTCCTAAATGCATAGAAAAGTGTTATTCACTTTCACTTCAACTTTCTTGCAATATCTGAGGCCAACGAAGATAACAATGCTATTTCTAAAATTTTATAAGATAAAGGTACATAATAAATTTGAAGGACCAATGGTGTCATCTCATCTTCCCCCATCTCCAAGTAGCTACATCACAAAATATAAATCCACAGGTATTAACTGAACATGTACTATGCTCTGCTATATGTCTTGACTGAGGGCATATAAGACTGTACTTGTTTGCTGCCACATGTAACATGGTTGGATTGATAAGACTATTAAAAAGACTCACAAGTATGCCAGCAACCCCACTGCTGGGTATAAACCCCAAAGAAAGGAAATCAGTATATCAAAGAGATGTCTGCACTCCTATGTTTGTTGTAACACTGTTTACAATAGCCAATAATTGGAAGCAACCTAAGTGTCCATCAACAGATGAATGGATAAAGAAAATGTGGTACATATATACAATGGAGCACTATTCAGCCATAAAAAAGAATGAGATCTAGTCATTTGCAACAACATGGATGGAAATGGAGATCATTATGTTCAATGAAATAAGCCAGGCACAGAAAGACAAACATCACATGTTTTCAGTTATTTGTGGGACCTAAAAATCAAAATAATTGAACTCATGGACATAGAGAGTAGAAGGATGTTTACTAGAGGCTGGGAAGGGTAGCAGGGGTATTGGGAGGAGGTGGGGATCATTAATGGGTACAAAAAAATTAGAATGAATAGGACCTATTATTTGTTAGCAAAATAGGGTGGCCATAGTCAATAACTTCATTGTCATTTTAAAATAACTTAAAGAGTGTAATTGGATTTTTTGTGACTTAGAGGGTAAATGCTTGAGGGGCTGGGTGCCTCATTCCCCGTGATGTGTTTATTTCACATTGCTTGCCTGTATCAAAACATCTCATATACCCCATAACTATATAAACCTACTATGTACCCACAAAAATTTAGAAAAAAGGGACTCACACATATGATAATTCTCATGTTTAAATAGCTCAGAAAAAGGAATTTCACATTTAAAAATAAATCCTTCGGGTCACTCTTCTCCTTATGTAATATAAATCTAGTTTGCAGTCACTTAGGTCCATTTTTCTATAAAATCACTACTGAATTTCATGAGCAATAGAAACTTACAAGCAAACCCTCACAAACAACTATTTTTACCTTACAATTTAAACAAGAAATTCAACACCAAATGTATCAAAATAAATTATCTATGTTAGGTATATCTAAAAGAGAAAACTTTTAAATTAGCCTAGTAGCTAAGTCTATAAATAGCAGAAATTTGGCATTAACAGGTAAGAATTACATTTTGCATTGTGATTTTTTTATTAACATTCCATCTGAAATTGTATAATAAATAAAGATTGGATAATATAAAAACTTACATCAGGCTTAACAACTAAAAATGAGAAAACAAGCTGGATATGAGTTAGGTAAAGCTTCACAAATTAGTAAAAAGCATCTGTAAGCTAGTGTTGAAACTCTTTCATTCCAAGAAGATTACTGGGGGGAAAAGTGCCCCAATGGAGGTTGGATAGCTCTCAGAAAAGACATTATTCTCTGTTTAGATCAACCATGTCTCAGTATGCTATGAAAGTGTGTTGCAGTGGAGAGATAAAGACCCACGTGCATACTGCCATCTGCTCTTGTCCTAGGGAAAGGGGCTCTCACTGTACTTATCTCTCTGGTTTTCTCTGGAAGGATGTTTTTAAGATGCTGCTGCTGTTAATTTCTTCAGTCAGTGTTGGATTCATGATCGGAAATTTAAGAAGGAATACAATTACTTCCAGGACCTCTTCCTACATTACAGATTCCCCAAGCTTACTGTAGTTTCAGGAACTCCAAAATATCCCCACCTACTAACCTTCCAAATAGATTCACTTGTTTTTAGGGCACGTGGAACTCATATAGATTCAACCTTCCAAATAGAATCACTTGATTTAGGGCAGGTGAAACCCATATAGTATTCCCATCCCATGTTGGCTGAGTTTTATCTTCTGTGTAACCTGAACATATATTCCGTATTTTTTTCCATCAAGTCTCCACAAGGAATACAATTCCCAAAGTAGGACCAGGTAGCAAGAGCTATAGAAGCTGTGAGCAACATGTTAAGGGATCGGAAAGAAAGATAAGGCATCCCAATGGGATTTGTTAAACCCTTTTTGTAAGATTTAACTGGAACACAAACAAGGAAGGACACTTCTTACCAAGAAGCAATCCCTGTTCTTTAATTTCCAGTGCAAGGGGAGTGTGAGGTGGAGTGAGGAAGACCAAAATCCCTGAGGTCTGTGACTATTACTGTTTTCTCTGTCTTCTGAGAATGAAGAAATGAAAATGAATTGACCCTATTTTATAATTTCAGGGAATGCAGCTGAGACAATCTGATGGTGCCTTGTGCTTTAAATTTTTCTTTTAGCCTTTTACCTAAATCCATTCTTATACTTAAATATAAAGGAGGCAGGGTATAATTTGCTAAGTTAAAGTTATTTTAATGTTCATGACCGCCAACTAAGTAAAAAACCTACTATTTTTACCTTGAGGGAGGTCACTTGTAGTAGGTTTTAATGTGCTTTTCCCCCATCAGACCTGTTCAGTAAGAGGCTTGTTGGTGACTGGTGTCCAGATTGTGTCCTTATATACTGGTAAGATGTTTCTTCCTCACATTGATGCCCAA